GTTTCTTTGGCCATGTAACGGAAGTGTTCCACATCAAATTCTACTGAGAGTTAATTGATTTATGAATGAAACTGACAGACTCAATTATCCATCCATCCATTTTCTTCCCCATAATCCATTTCTTATTGCTCATTGCTCTGACTGCCACCCCCCCGACCCAGTACACAGAGCACCAGCCCCTGACGGATTCTCCTGCAGGTGGTGAGTCCACAGGAGCCTTGATTATTCAGCAGGGGCTTCAGGCAAAGTGAGGTTAAGTGTCTTGCCCAAGGACACAACGACAGCAGTCATCAGTGGGAGTTGTGAAGTAGGTCTTGTGGTGGGCTCAAACCCACGACCTTCAGGCCCAAAAGCCAATGCTCTACCAACTGAGCCACTGTCGCCCCAGACTCAAGTAACAATAGTTATATAAGCCTTCAGAATAAGCCTTCAACAATAGTTAAGCTTTCTAAGACTTTTCAGATTTTTGTGTAATAGAACTGAAGAAAAAATTATGTGTTTGGTTATAGATTGTGAAGACCTGTATGAAAACGTTCCTCGTTAATCTGAAACATGGACAGTTTTAATGCTGATTAACTATCTTGTATTTTAGGTCATGGCAGGACAAGCACCATGCCAAAAGGGAAATAAATCAAATAGGAAAAATACACAGGGAGCTACAAATTTGGAATCTGTGTTGTTCCAAGGAGAACATTTACTTTGGAAATGCTAGATGAGATTTGAACAGCTCTGAGTACCCTCTGAAGAGACTTTGAGATTTGACATTGTGACAAGAGCCCTCACTACTGTTCCTACAACTCCAGGATTTGGACAAGCATTTGCTGACATAACAAGCCTCACAGTAGCCGGTGGAGTTTCCCCGAGTATCAATATAACAGAGGAAGGAACCCCCCAGTTGTGTTCACTGCACAACTCAGCACTCAAAATCCCAGACTTTAAATTAAATATTCAAAAACATAAACCTATGAAGGAGATATATGTTAAGCTGAAGCTGCACAATTAATCTAAAAATGTTCTTTAATGGTGAATTGAGTTTGAGGAGCATTTAATGCAGTTGGGCTCTTGTTATTTGCATTTGTATATTTGACAAAATGTTTAAGCCTGTGGATCGAACCTGCTCACTTTTGAGACTTAAGCACTAACCACTCATTTGTGTGGTGTGATTCATTCATGTTTGAGCAATATCATGAACTGAATTAAACCTTGCACCACTGATACTTTTGTCACCTGGGCAGGCAGAACATTTAAGCATGTTTTTATTGCCCATTAAGGTGAATCATATATTTTTGAGCTGATTGAGATAACATTGACATTGAGATAATCGTCCAACAAAATTGTCATAAACACATTTAAGAATTATAGGCTATCATGTCCTCATATTTGGTGTGATCCAACAGGAGGAATCAAGAGCATGCAAAGCTGATTAAATTTACCAATGGGGGTTCCGGTTCCAAAAAGGTCAAGAACCACTGCCTTACATAACCCATTCATTCAAAAAATCTGAACCATTGTAACTATGCTGTGGAACCACTGGGCACTTTAGGAACGAAGATACTCCTCCAACTCAGAGTTTGAGACGGACAGCTGGGTAAAATTTCTGTCAAAATCTGAATTTATTAAGAACATTTCTCGCAGGGAGGAAAACAAATGGAAAAAAGCGCGCAGTACACAGAATCCATCTCAGCTATACCAGCATTTTTGTGAAAATAATTCGGGGGATTGCAACACACTACACAGTCCCCTAGGGAGGAGCTCTACACTTGAGTCCAGTTGGGGGAATCTGCTTCTCCGATCATATTCCCTTTTATCATACTCCCCTTTGGCTGGTTTTTGTCACACTGGACTGAATGACAACAGTCAAACATGAAGATTATGGTTGTGTCCAACTTATTGCTATTTTAATCACCTAAATACACTCTAAATACAAAAATATCTCAGTTAATTATTAGCTTTAATTATTAGCTTTGTACAGTTAGTGAACTAGGTAATCTTGTAGTATGGAGTAGAATATTCAATTTAAAAAGGGAAACTATTAGAGGTACTTTAGTGAAGATTGACTGCCTGGCAGGTTTTACTTTCTGTATCATTATATCATGCAATTACGTATCTGTTACTAGATGACTTAGAGACATAGCAGAGCATATGGAGTTGTATGCTTAGTTAGCATTCTATCCATCTTGGTAATCTCAAGAACTGGGTCAAGTCGGCAGCGCAACAGCCAGAGCATGACCCACACAGCAAGTCTATCCCTGGTTTGAATTATTCTGCAAAGAGCCCGCAAACACGCATGCAGCAAGCCAGAAGCGGGTCATTTTGGGTTTTTTTAAGTGAGTGTAATAACTGGATAATGCTATTGATCAAGATTAATTGGATACAATTCGTAATAAATAATTAATTTGATGTTTGGCCATCTTTGGCTGTCTTTGACAGCCAACTCTGCCTCAGTCAAACAAGCGAAAAGACACTTTACCTTTTGTCCACAGCAATCTATAGAAAATGACTGACTTATTAGTGGATTCAGCTGTTCTCGTCTCTCTGTGGTCTTGAAAGAAGCCACAGAACAGCACGGGAATATACTTGTGCAATGACAAATAAATTAAATCTAATTTTGACTTTACATTTAAAAATATCAACTAATACAGCATTCAAAACACATAATAAAATCAATCATATAATTAAATCCATCCTTTCTCTCAAAACAGATGGATTCTCACAGTTTTAATCTGGAGCAGTTTTAGATCAGTTTTTCAGAGATGTTAAAGAAGCTATACCCGATTTTTTTTCTAAGTAGTTCATAAAAATGCTTTTTACTACATACAAGTTGTATCATAATACATCATTCAATTGAAAACTTGAGGTAATTGATTCAGCTGTGTAAGAATTACAAGCAGTGAAAAGTGCTGAGTAGAGTCTGAGCGGGCCGCTCTTTCTCCTCCGCTCACAGAACGAGCAGCGAACAGCCTGCGTCCTCTAGCCCCTACAGCGCTGGACTTCAAAATTCGAATATAATTCTAAAATAAAAAATGATGAAAAAAATTATTGAATAAAAAAATTTGAACAAATATTAGACAACCCTTGTAATTCGAAATGTATTGAATGACTGCAAATAAAATAGTTAGCTCCCAAAGGTTTCACCGAGACGTGCTAGGCAGGTAACAGCTAAGCTAGCTAGTTGTTTCATGGTAACTTCCGGGTTTTTCGCAATCGCTTTTTGTCACATTGAAACAGTATTTTTGTCATGAAAACGTTAACAGCAAATTCTGAAATCATCCGTGCATGTGTGTTAAGGATGTATATGTGTACTGTATTGTCCGATTGACGTTTAATGGTGTTGATTTATAGATATGTAGTTGTTTATTGAGCGTGGCTAGCTCCGCTAGCTTCTCTACACAGACGAGTGTGTAGTGACAGGTGCTGATAGCTTGTTGTACTTGCAGAGTAATGGCAGTATTTTACACACCTGAATTACAAACAGGTTGCATTGGGGCTTCGGTCATTATTGGTTTGAGAGTTCTGTTATCAAGAAAAATGATCGGAAGAATTGCTGCTGCTGCTTTGAGTAGCTCTATAACAAATTATAATTAAATATTAGAATATATTCTAAGGTTTTAAATCAATACATTCGGACGCGAAACTAGCGGTATTCTTTTACTTATATATTGTGTTAGCACTTAGCAGTGCGTTGCTTTAGTGCCATTTCATCAGTGATTGTTGCACAGCTTACAAGAAGTTGCGCTAATGCTAATGTTAGCATACGTATCAGATCGCAAATAAAACTAGGTGGCTCTGTGTTATGAGAAATGAGAAGCCATTGAGCCAGTTGGGGGGCGGTGCTAAACATTCAAACATTGCAGAAACGGGTATAGCGCCTTTAAAAAGAGAAGACCCCCTCTCGCCAATCTGCTTAAAGCAGGAGCTCAAGACACTTTGGGGTCAGATTTGTTCTTTCTGGTGGGTAAAAAAGTTAGGTACCCCTGGTTTAAATTAAGATTAAGATTAAAGAATCCTTTATTTGTCCCATAGTGGAGGAAACTTCAGTGTAGCACACAAGTTGCAGAACAGTAGGAATGAGGAGCACACAACACAAGATAAGTGAATAATAAGTGTAGCACAACTCTTCTTCAATCTTTGCATATTTATTACTTTATAGCTGTGTCTAAAGTGAGGTTGTTTAATATATGACTGGGCCCTAACTGATGATTCTCTGGTCATCCACAACATTCCTCCACAAAAGCAACCACAAACAGCAGTCATGAGAGAGTTCCCTGCAGCCTAAAAAGTAAAAGTGAGAAAACAGAGTCCTCCAGGCTGTGCAGGGATGGGGAGCTTCCTGTCCCTCCTCAGAGTTAAGACTCCAGGACCATTCTGCCTCTGCTCGCAGCTGAGTATTTCTACGCCCATTATGAAATAGTTGAGCGCCCTTCCGGCAAAAACAAAACACTGCACATCAAAACCTTGACAAGTGTGGCAAGAGTGGGTAAAAAAACCGAGTGCAAAAATAGAGTGTAAAAAGGGAAACGGGAGGGGCATGCAAGCTGGAACGAACAAAATATTGCTTTATTGCTACACAGATCCGTACAGAAGGATCTAAGCGTCTCAATCAACTCACGATATGCACTTCCCAAAAATGCATTTAATATATTATGTGTTTCAGTGCAAAGAGGGCATTAACAGACTAGTCATAATCACGGGCAACAGGGACAGGATATGACCGAATTGGGGATCTCTTTAAAGTTTTGTCTTCAAAGTTGCAATTCTAGCTTAAAACAATATGTCGTGATGTCCAAACGAAGCATTCCCCTACTGAGTATTTGCATGTGTTCGCACAGTTACAGTTTAATGGGAGAATACTGGCAGAATAACGTGTTTTCCCAGTCGCTTGTTAGCACTTAGCTAGCTTCTTGCTAATTGCATCTAGCATCAACATCCATGACTGACGGCCTGACGCACAAACCTCAGCGCAAGAGTGAAGTTTGAAGCTGACATAAAGTCAAACTTACCGGCTTTTTCTTGGTCATATCCAACCACCATGAAATAGTCAGCCAATCTCGCCATGCCTGCTGATTTTCCCGGAATATACCAACACAATTCAGCATTTTTCCTTCTTCCAAAGCACAGCCATGTTTGACAGAAGGAGTGCCAGTGCGCATGCGTGCGAGAGGGACACATCCATGGGCGTGGGTCTCCCTGTTTACAAATGGACAGTTCATTAATTTGTAAAAACAGACACTTCCGTTTTGAAAAATGGTCAAAAAGTTGTATTTCTCAAGCTACCATTGTCAATATTTTTTGTTACTGGCAGTAGATTTAGATGGATTTTCTCAATGAGGGGTGAAAATTTAATTGAATGGCACTGGATTCTCACAAAACTACTTTGTAAAACATTGTAAGCCTTTCCGATATAGTTTTTGCAAATTAACTATTACCAATAAACTGAATGTTTCACTAACAACTTGAGCATCACCTAATTCATTCTAAGTGAGTAAAAATATGAAATCAAAGTTAAACATAGAGAGGATGATAAACTGATATAAAGCAGGTATAAAGCGGCTCACCCAGACTCTTTTTATTAAACATAAAAAAAAAAAAACATTAAATAAATTATAACCTGGCTTGGTGTACGTATCAACCCAATACTTACATACACACCAATACACATACAGTACAAAGACAATACAATGTAGGCACACAGTACTTACTACATCGTAAATTCCCAAAGACACATTCTGGGAAAGAATGCATTAGTCCGTAGTTGCTTAAACTCTGATGAAACTATGTGGTATTCTATTATTTACTTTGTTATGTGTGTGTGGTAATGTCTGTGTTTTTTTATTGAGCAAAACACTAATTAGCAAATAGTGTAGAATCAGAACTTCTCAAACTGAGGTGGTAGGCCATAACATTTCAAAGGGCTGTGTAGGTGTGCTTGTACGTTGGTATAGCTTTTTTTTCAGGTTTTAAAACATGTATGTATATGAATGTATTTTTATTTAGGTGGATTTGTGATATATATGTTATGAAATAAAAATGATTAATCGATGGATATATACAAATAGATGTATAGATATTTAGATTGACAGATAGATTGATTTATAGATACTGAAAAATGCTATTCTAACATGCCTTTTCACACTCCTGCTGAAGATTCTGAACAAATCCACTGATTCTACAAACAAATCTTGTGTCATCTCCTTCTCCACAGATGTCACAATTTTGTTATACTAATAATATTTAGAGAAAGGCTTTGATCAGAATCGTATGTTGATAGAACAACAAACATTTGTTGACAAATGTGACAGTGCTCATTCCTCGACAGTTAATGAGTGACTTCTGAAGCATGTGGTAAAATTCCAACACACGCTTTTCCAGGCATTTACTACCCACCTGTTTTCAGATGTTTTCAGCATGTACTTTTACAAACAAACAATCAGATTGAATTTTAAATGAAACTCGTAACATCTGCTTCAAAGGCGACAAGAAAAATGTTATTTAGCGAGCCAAAGAGCCGTTTTCGTCTGCCTTGCACAATCCTGTGTTGAAAACTAGCGATCGCATCTCATGCCGATGGCAATTATCATTACACAGCACTAAATATTTGGAGCTTTAAAACATGTGGTTTGTTTAAATTATGACACAGTGTTATGTTGGAAGAGGCCTCATGATCAAAATAAACCAGATATGTCTTTGTAGGGGACAATGAAGCTTTGCACGGAAAAATGTGTGTCGTGGATTCATGTGTTGAGCATGTGGGGCATGTTGAAACAAAAAGCTGCACCAATTTCTCTATTCATCGAAAGCGAAAGAAGAAATGTAGCTTTTCCCCTTTCTGTAAAACAAACCACAAACACCGGAAATTTCCATGTTGGGATTTTACACTGTCCTGATGTGGTTTACACAAAGGCATTAATATTTCAATAATTTGTATTAAAAATATATATACAATTAGTGGATTGTCAACCACTATTTTCAATAAGAGAAAATGTAACTACATTTCTATGAGATGACATTTTCCAATTCAAGATGCATTTGAACATAAGCTATACCAACAAACTATCTACGATTACACAACTGTAGCACACTCAATTGCTGAATTATTTAGTGCATTCCATTTACCCCCTTAGACTTTATACAAAAAATGATTGGACACAATTACGTCAAAAATGTCTGAGCTAATATTTTTCACACTTTGTCAAGACCATATTGGGGCCAAAATCAGTCTCAGATAACTGTAAAATTCCACTTCACACTTGTCCAAATAATAAATCATGTTGTCGTTCTGGAGTTATTTGACTCATACAAACAAATTCATTGGGTATATTGTGTTACAGCTATTGAGTTACCCAAGGCTCGTGTCTTTCAAAAACATTAATCTATCTCATAATGTACTTTCGCCGTGACGTGGAGTGCAAACATTCCTCAGACTGTATTACGAGCAATTTGTCCTGCCGCACGCAGGCGAAAAAACACCTATGTCTTCATTCAAGCCCTTAGATAAAATAATGATTATAAAATCTGCTGTATGCCCATGTAATACATTTTTTGTTGCTGATATAAATGTGGGGGAAAAGACATTTGCTAATTGTTTTCCTTTAGAAACCTTAGCAAAAAGGGGAACAGGTATGCAGTCTACATTCAAGAGGAGAGAGTGTTATTTCATCTAAAAGTTGCATGAGCAGTAGTTGCAATAGTTGAGCAGGTGTCGTAACAGCAAAAGAATCGCAGTGTATTATAAATATCTCATTGTTAAAGAAAGAAACATCTTGTCACAATAAAAGTGTGGTATGAAAAGTACTTTCAAAATAATTTTTAAGCTCAGTTTTTGGTTACATTGTCTTAAAGTAAAGAGTCTTCTTTGTTCACGAAGGATTCTGATCAGCCCAATTTGGTAAACTGTTTTGAAATGTGGAAAGTACAAAACTTTTGACCACTCTTTGAGTATGAAGTGCCTGGGATGGTTCATAGTAGAGCAGCGCTGCGTGGGGTGTGGGTAAAGGATGAGAGGCTGTTTTGTCAGTCAATGAGCCCCTCCCACCTCCACTATAAATGCTGCCTGTCTGCTGTGGACAAGCTATTAGAGAAGTGACACTGCTGCCTCACACAAGTCGACTCAACCTGTGGAATACTCCAATAGATTGGAACCTTACAGAATCTGCAAGAGGTAAGATTGCTTTTAAAACATCACATCACTGCATGTGCTGTTCTTCTGTCTGGTGTTCTTATCATTTTAGGTCAGAACACAAGAATATAGGCAGGTTATCTCTGGTTATATAAGCAGTTCAGCTCTTAACACATGTAAAGGCAAGGAATTACCACTATATCAAAAAAGGCCAGACACTTTTACAATATAAATGTGCTATTTTGGGCCATTCATTTACATATGTGTCAGAGTTTAATCAGATTTAGCTGTGTTTGACTTTAGAGCAAGGCTTATTTTGGACTGCTGGTGTCCTTTGCGTCCCTGGCCAGGGGCCCAAAGTATGATTGTAGGTTTACTTAACCCTGCAAATCTTGACCTCAGTTTAGCTTTTTAAATAAATGAATGATAAGTGAAAATAACTTGACTTTTGGACTCTAGTCTGTACGGAAAAGTTGTATTTTACTTGATATAACTATAGTAGGACATTCAAAGTTATTAATTCATAAAATGTATAAGTAACCAATGTTTGTCTTTGTTTCCACAGAGTTAAAATGAAAATCATCCTGCGCTCCTTTCTATGCAGCTGCCTGCTGGCGACAGTAGCACACTCTGTGGAGCTTGAGCCTGAGCTCAAAAAAAGGTTAGTTATTTATATTATCATTATATGAATATGAAAATATTTTCACTCACACTTTTAGAGAAAGTGAAACTTGTGATCTAAAGTATTTGTACTTCTGTCTAGACTAAACACATGGCTGGGAAGCCGGTTGAGACGGGATCTTCATGCTGTCTCTACAGAGCAAAAACTAGTCAGACCTGAAGACTTCAGGGACTCCCTTACACACTCCAGGTAAATACAGATATGTATTTGTTTCTCTACCCTTTATAAAGTTTGACTTGTAGCTTAATCTTGTTTGTTCAATCTTCTATAGCTCCCACAATAATGTCCGCACCAAGAGATCTAAGGGCTGTGCCCTTGGCACCTGCACAGTGCATGATCTGGCACACCGCCTGCACCAACTCAACAACAACAAGCTGAAGATCGGCAGTGCCCCAGTGGACAAGATCAGCCCCCAGGGGTACGGGCGCAGACGGCGCTCTGTCCCAGAACACCGGCTGAGTCTCCGGCTGGTCAACGGCAGGGTCAAGCCAGTGTGGAGTCAACGAGACTCTCAGCTCCACAAGCTGGAGGCACTCCTCAGACGGACATGAGCTGGACTTTGAAAGAGGAGTTTGATCAGAGAAGAGGGAGTAATGGAAACGTGGTGTCCTCTGCTCCGCTCAAAGATTTTTCAGATGCCTCTGACTCGTGCCAAGATATGTCCAGTACATTGTTCTAGAGGATGGAGAGTCAGAGCTCGGCCGGCTGCAGTTCAGCGATGTGGAACATGCACAGACTGCAGCTGGCTCATAGACACTGGATAGAGTTAAGTAATGGTGCTGCTCTCCACTTGCCAGTACAAAGGAAAGTGCTGCAGACTGGTCAAAGTGGGATCCCATTTGCTCCTCACAAACTTTGAAAAGTGTGTCCTCAGAGGATTGTTATCTGATTGTACTTGTATGCACTTTTCCATTGGACTGAATGAACAGAATATAATCTCCACCATGAAGCCAAAGAGGGAGAAGCTACAGATATCCACAGCTCCCAGTTTATATGTATCAGTTTTGGACACTGTATAAAGGGAAATCCCTTAGATTCTGTGAGATATGGTCCGGTCCTTGATGGACTGCAATATACTTGAAACTTATTGTTTTTGTACATATATCAGTGCAATCGATATTTTTGTTTGGGTGTTTTTCTTACTGCAATTATGTGTATATATGTGCTACTTTATTTAATATTATATAGAGGTTACAATAAAGTACTTATGCAGATTTATTTTTGTACAGGAAGATATATGTATATATATATATATATATATATATATATATATATATATATATATATATATATATATATATATATATATATATATATATATATATATATATATATGGGCATTGTAGCTATTTGCCATTATTCTTTCACAAACTTTGTTATATATTTTTATATTTTTTATTTGTTTATTTTATTTTGTCAAATTGATAAACATTGTCATCTAATAAACTTTTTATACGCTTCTATAAAATGAACATAATTTGTGGTCTTCCGTTCTTATGGCAAATCAAGCTGTAGCCTTTTGTCTGGAGAGAAGCACCTGGTCTTTGTTAAGTGATTATTGAGTCTCATTAGAGACAATCTTATAACATTCTTAGTACATTCCCCCAGTTATGACGACCCCCTCCCGTCCCTAAAGAAAGGCCAGACAGAGGGCCAGTTGCATTCCTGCTTGGTTCAGCTCATATTTGTTGGCTCAGCTCTCACACCACAGAGTAGCCTCAGAGCCACGGAGGCTGAGGCTTAGCTCCATCTGTGTTCAATGCTGAAGATGAGGAGACCAAGATGGGGGGTTAAGGCCGACATACCAGAACGCCAGAGCATCTTAGACACAGAGCACCAATAATACTCTATACGAGCACTGGAGAGGTATGAGACCCTATGATTGAAACTATGTATGTAAGTTCATACCTCTAGAAAGTGTTCATTCCATGCCATAAAGAATGATTAAATACATATAATTCAATACATAACTTTGAAGCTCTCAAAGTAGTACAACAAAATTATATGTATATCTATTTAAATTTGTTAATATTAGATTATCGTATAGACAAAGTAGAACACATTTGCCTTACCACAAGAAGTCGTGTGGAGCTAATGCGCCATCGTGAGGCTGATCAAAAACACAGTCTAATAATGAATGGCAATACATTATTATTATCAATGTTATTACTGATAATAATAGTAGAAGTCTTTGTTAGAAGGAGTCTACGTAGAATATTTTATAAGGTTTACCTATTGCTTCTTTACACGTGGAAGAGCCTCCTTGACGCAGAAACTCAACTTTGCATCGTGTATGTTATAATTTGTATAATTGCGCCCTCTAGTGACGATTTCCAGGACCCTGCTCCCCCTCAAAAGGTAGTCGATATTTTGGTTCCATTTGGATATTCATTTCTGACTGTGAAACAACCTAAAAAAAAAAAAGGCAACGGATAACAATTCAATACAATTAAACCACAACAGTAGCTAGTTATCAACCGTTGAATTCGCCATCACAGATCAGAGAATCAAACAGTTCAAACACAAGAAATAAAACAGAAAACACATTGGTATTGGTACATAAGAGTCAGATGACCAATCTCCATACATTTTGATAAATGTTAATAAATAATAAATAACATTGATCACAAAATCCCAAAGATCGAATACCTTCTTCTCCAACGTGAGCTAACACTGTCTGCGCTGCCTGTTGATGTTAAAAGTTGTATTCTAGCTCTTATGTTTATTATAGTTATAGCAATACGAGGGCCCTGGTTTGAGGTCCAACTTCAGCTGGTTTCTCTGTGCCCCATTTGCCTTTCAGTCATAGTGAACAGATTTCATATGGAATAAAACACAAAATGTTCTGCACAATTGAGTGGATCACATTGTCATGACAAAACACACGCAGAGTCGCAGACACACACACACACTCACACACACACGCACACAGAAACACACACACGCACGCACGCACGCACACACGAATGCATTTACTTTGTTATTGCTACTGTTGGTGACACTGTTCATATGTGTTATTTACGTCGATTTCGTTTCACAGACTATGTAATTCTTTCACCATACATACAGTATTAGCTATTGTACTTGCCAATAATGCAAAAAACCCCAACAAATTGACATGCAAAGTGATTACAAATTGGTGAAAAGTACTATTCAGTAATATTTTGTCAAGCAGAAATCATTTTGGACATTAGGACACCTCTACAGATTTCTACAGTCACAAAGACATTCAGGTTAAACTGTAAACGGTGACATTTATGAAGTCATAACCTACCCCTATGCATCTGTGAGAATGTTTACTGATCACAGACATTTTTTGTGGGTGGACTCTCTTTGTCTACATGCAAGTCATTTGGACTAATGTGCTTATCTTCTGCAGACCAGGATTGGATAAGGGGACCCCAAATGCTTCAACCGGAGGAGTTGTTTGAGCCTGCTCTGGTGGAGAGGGAGGGCAGCATGGACCTAGATTTGTTCTCTGTGTCTGAGGACTGTCCCATACATCTCCAACAAGCCAAAGAACATGAGATCCAAAAAGAGCTGGCAGAGGAGCAGTCTGTGGTACAATCTAAGAGGTGAGCTAACAACATAGACTACTGCTACTTTATTCACTTTTTTGGCAACACTTTAATATATTTTTGCGAATTAAATATGTTGCAGGAGGCAAAGTTTCAAAATGTTTCGCTCCCCGTCTATATCCTTCCATGTGCCAGTGCCAGAACTGAGGGCTTTGGCTGAGAATACACCATTTATTCCCCTGAGCAGCACCTTGGGCTCTCCATCAAAAAACTGCCCAGATTTCCAAAGAGTTATTATCAGTGGAGACTACTGTGCCGGAGTAATACTCAATAGTTTGTCAAAAATAACATTGAAGTCGTTCATCTTAAAATATTTGTGTTTTCCTCCCAAAAGCTTCCAGTTGAGGACTATGAACACTCAGCCAAAGCTCTTTTAAAAGCCCTGATGTTCAGAGAGAAGTACTGTAAAATGGCACATCACAAATTCTGTAGAACCACAGCCCAGTTTCTCAGAATGGCTGAAAACATGACATGGAATGAGAATGAGGAGATTCTGCCAGGTTTGTTTTATTAGAAGAACACCTTTGCAGCTTGGATAAAACAGACATCATTGTGTTGCAGATATTTGTCCATGTCCAAAAGAGGGTGAGGATCCTTACAGCATGGACCACATTCCAGAGAACGAACCCTATGAGTTGAAAATAGTTGATGGGATAGTGAATGTTGAAGGCCATGCACAGCAGCCTCTGGTGGACTTGCGTAGTTTTGCAGCAGACTTTACTGAACTTCTGACTATGATCACAGATGGCCCCACGTAAGTTGGTGTGAAAAAATGCAATGTTGAAAAAAATCCCCACAGTTGAAATGTAAATCCCAAACACCAGTTTTACTTTGCAGAAAAACATATTGCCACAGACGACTGAGGTTCTTAAGTTCAAAGTTCCACCTCCATGAGATGCTGAATGAGATGGCAGAGCTGAAAGAACTTAAAAGTGTGCCGCATAGGGACTTTTATAATATCAGAAAGGTGCGTTTTTGTTCTGTGCAACCTCAAAGTGAAACTATTCTCTACATCAGGGGTATCCAAATCTATTATTAAGAGGGTACTTTAGTTCACTAGACCCTGCAGGGGCCGACAACACAGATTACAGTTGTTTTGAAAATCGTCCCAATTAAAGCTGAAGTTGGCTGAATGACAAATGTTCGTCAACTCATCAGCAACATTAGTACAATCAAAAACTACTACTATCAAAAAATGCCATAATAAAAAAAATGCAGTTAATGGTTTAATTCTATAGTGGTTCTGTGCTTTCTATTGAGGTACAACATGTCTATATTGACAGATCTGAAGTTGGCTGGATGACACAGTTCATACAGTGCCTTGCGAAAGTATTCGGCCCCCTTGAACCTTTCAACATTTCGCCACATTTTAGGCTTCAAACATAAAGATATAAAAATAATTTTTTTTGTCAAGAATCAACAACAAGTGGGACACAATCGTGAAGTGGAACGAAATGTATTGGATAATTGAAACTTTAACAAATAAAAACCTGAAAAGTGGGGCGTGCAATATTATTCAGCCCCCTTGCGGTAATACTTTGTAGCGCCACCTTTTGCTGCAATTACAGCTGCAAGTCGCTTTGGGTATGTCTCTATCAGTTTTGCACATCGAGAGACTGGAATTCTTGCCCATTCTTCCTTGCAAAACACCTCGAGCTCAGTGAGGTTGGATGGAGAGCGTTTGTGAACAGCAGTCTTCAGCTCTTTCCACAGATTCTCGATTGGATTCAGGTCTGGGCTTTGACTTGGTCATTCTAACACCTGGATACGTCTATTTGTGAACCATTCCATTGTAGATTTGGCTTTATGTTTTGGATCATTGTCCTGTTGGAAGATAAATCTCCGTCCCAGTCTCAGGTCTTTTGCAGACTCCAACAGGTTTTCTTCCAGAATGGTCCTGTATTTGGCTCCATCCATCTTCCCATCAATTTTAGCCATCTTCCCTGTCCCTGCTGAAGAAAAGCAGGCCCAAACCATGATGCTGCCACCACCATGTTTGGCAGTGGGGATGGTGTGTTCAGGGTGATGAGCTGTGTTACTTTTACGCCAAACATATCGTTTTGCATTGTGGCCAAAAATTTCGATTTTGGTTTCATCTGACCAGGTGGCTTGTGGCAAACTTTAAACGAGACTTTTTATGGATATCTTTGAGAAATGGCTTTCTTCTTGCCACTCTTCCATAAAGGCCAGATTTGTGCAGTGCACGACTGATTGTTGTCCTATGGACAGACTCTCCCACCTCAGCTGTAGTTATCTACTGTTCATCCAGAGTGATCATGGGCCTCTTGGCTGCATCTCTGATCAGTCTTCTCCTTGTTTGAGATGAAAGTTTGGAGGGACGGCCGGGTCTTGGTAGATTTGCAGTGGTCTGAAACTCCTTCCATTTCAATATAATTGCTTGCACAGTGCTCCTTGAGATTTTTAAAGCTTGGGAAATCTTTTTGTATCCAAATCCGGCTTTAAACTTCTCCACAACAGTATCTCGGACCTGCCTGGTGTGTTCCTTTGTCTTCATGGTTCTCTCTGTGCTTTAAACAGAACCCTGAGACTATCAAAGAGCAGGTGCATTTATACGGAGACTTGATTACACACAGGTGTATTCTATTTATCATCATCAGTCATTTAGGACAACATTGGATCATTCAAAGATCCTCACTGAACTTCTGGAGTGAGTTTGCTGCACTGAAAGTAAAGGGGCCGAATAATATTGCACGCCCCACTTTTCAGTTTTTTATTTGTTTAAAAAGTTTAAATTATCCAATAAATTTCGTTCCACTTGTTGGGATTGTGTTCCACTTGTTGTTGATTCATGACAAAAAATTAAAATGTTATATCTTTATGTTTGAAGCCTGAAATGTGGCAAAATGTTGAAAGGTTCAAGGGGGCCGAATACTTTCGCAAGGCACTGTATATGAACGTTGGTTTAGCAAGGCATGAGGGCCAAATGTAATGACACAGAAGGCTGCTGTTGGCCCGCAAGCCTTAGTTTGGACATGCCTGCTTTAAATCAACATTTAAACTGGCCATTTTTGAAAGTGGCATGTGAACTTCCTCTTTAAAAAATTATCATAAAATCACAACATTTTATTTTTGTACATCCCTAAATCAGTGTCACTATTTGGCAATTTGAAAGATGTGACAGAGGCCAAAAAATAAATGTATTTATTTTATTACATGTCTCAATTTTTGTGATATGAAAGTCCAATCCGGAGTGAGGGGAGAGACTCAGACTGGTGATCCCATTCCCAGGTGGAAATTAGCCGAGATTGATGTGTATTATAGCTGTCAGAACAATCACACTGCTGTGTATGCCTCCAGAATATTTGGTCCCTTTTTAAAACTAAAATGAAAGTCACCTTCTCAATGCAGGTGGACACGCACATCCACGCTGCAGCTTGCATGTCCCAGAAACACCTGCTGACGTTCATTCAGAAGACATATCAAACAGATGCTGATCGAATAGTTTTAGAGAAAGATGGAAACAAACTGACCCTCAAACAAGTGTTTAGTGGCCTGCATAAAGACCCTTATGACTTAACAGTGGACTCTCTGGATGTGCATGCAGTAAGTCATTATTTTGTATCTTACGTTTGTCATTTAGTTAGACCTGTGTGGATTAAACATTATTTCAAATTTCAACAGGGGAGGCAAACCTTTCATCGATTTGATAAATTCAACTCCAAGTATAACCCAGTGGGAGCCAGTGAGCTTCGAGAAATCTTTCTGAAAACTGACAACCTTATGGAAGGAGAGTACTTTGCTGAAATCATTAAGGTGTGTTTGTATTCATTGTGCTTTTTCAGTTCTAAAGTCACAGTATGAATGAAGATGTGTCTGTGCAGGAAGTGGCCCATGATCTGGAGGAGAGTAAGTACCTGCATGCCGAACCACGTCTGTCAGTCTACGGCAGCAGTCCCGGGGAGTGGCTACATCTATCCAAATGGTTCATCAAACACAAACTCTACTCTACAAACATGAGGTGGATCATTCAAGTGCCGCGGATATAGTGAGTCTAAATGTCCGATTAGGTTGCGTTCATGTTGTAGAATTGTATTTCAACTGAAGGTCAGGAGACAATACAACTCTATGGCGAAAAAAAGCAATTTTTTTATGTTCTTTTCCAGATCATTTCCCCGAATCATTATCTGATTTTCAAACCCATTTCCTACTGGCATAAAACTCATTCATGTTTGTTGGAATAGTAACTAGACCATAGCTGATGAATAATGACAAAGAATGTTTGAATTTTATGTGGAAACGTTTGTTTCACGTGAATTGGCCCTGGAATTACAGAAAAATGAGCTCTAAACTAAGATTAGATTTTGACAGTTACCATAGTTACTAGGAAAGATCTTTCACCTGTTTTTAAGTTACATGAACACAGCCAATTATACCAATGTTACAGACTCTTCAGTTTGAGGCTGAATTAAAGTTTGTTACTTCGACACTGGGTTTCAGCGATATTTTCAAGGAAAAAGGACTGATTGGACATTTTTCCCAGATGCTGGAAAATATCTTTATGCCATTATTTGAGGCAACTATCAAACCAAAGGACCACAAAGAACTTCACGTTTTCCTAAAATATGTAAGCACATTTTTATACTTTCATTCTTGTTCTTTAAGGTTTGGTGATGTGAAATATAACACATTTAAGGTGTTTTAATGCCATAAAGATCAATAAAAAGGAGAAGGAATTGAGTTTGCAACAGTCAGTTAATTACGACTCTTCTCTGTAGCTACAGTATGTTGCCAGGATAAAAGTCCCCAAATGTGACATGTTATAATGGAGGAGTAGTCCACTTGTATACTTTGTTTAGTATACATTCTTGCTTCAGGTGTCTGGCTTCGACAGTGTAGACGATGAGTCCAAACGTAACAAACACATGTTTTCAACCCAAAGTCCTACCCCAGATAAGTGGGAAAGCAAGGACAACCCTCCATACAGCTACTACATCTACTTCATGTATGCCAACCTCATGACGCTCAACAACCTCAGGAAGTATGATCCACTCTGAAGAACAAAAAGTGATTTCATTAACTTATTCAAGACTTTTTGCTTTAGAGAACGTGGCCTGTGCACCTTCCAGTTCCGCCCTCATTGTGGCGAGGCTGGATCTATCACTCACTTGGTCTCAGCTTTTTTGGGGGCAGACAACATTTCTCATGGACTAAACCTGAAGAAGGTTTGTCAGACTGAATATAACCTTAAAATCAACGGTGTGCCTTTGGTTATAGTTGTAAAATGAGAACATGTTTTGGGAACACTTGAATAAATGATAATTCATGTAATTCAACTTTTATGGTAGAGGGTCCGCCACCAGCACATTTGCATTAACGTGTAATAAATGTCAAATCTTCCATGGTGCTGCATCAAACCATACTAATTGTAATTAAATACACACATAATTTTTGTCATACTAACACATTTTCTTCAACTGAAAGACACTTCAGATTTTAACTTTTTTTTTTCTCCATGCAAGAGCCCAGTACTGCAGTACTTGTTCTATTTAGCTCAAATCCCAATAGCAATGTCCCCACTGAGCAACAACAGCCTGTTTCTGGAGTACTCCAAAAACCCTCTGCGCGAGTTTCTGCACAAAGGTCTGCATGTGTCTCTGTCCACGGATGACCCCATGCAGTTTCACTACACCAAGGTCATTACAACACATAATGTGTTTTGTATTAAAACAAAGTATTAATGACGGTGCCGCCCTGTGTCATAGGAACCACTCATGGAAGAATATGCCATCGCAGCTCAGCTGTGGAAGCTCAGCACTTGTGATGTCTGTGAAATAGCCAGAAACAGTGTGGTGCAGAGCGGCCTTTCTCATGAGGTTCATATTTCTCTTACTAATAATCAATGTGTCCTGTAATGCATTTCATTGTTTTTGGTTTTCAGCAAAAGCAATATTTCATTGGAAAGAACTATCAAAATGAAGGACCAGAAGGAAACGACATTCAGCGATCCAATGTGGCCCAGATCCGGATGGCCTACAGATATGAAACTCTGTGTAATGAACTGAGCCTCCTGGTGGATGCAGTCAGACACTAATGAATAACTAAATATGGACAAATAATTACATCTCAGTGGTTGCATCGGAAATGTGGCTAATAACAACACATCCAGGAACCAATAATAAATACCTTTGATTTTCAGTGACTCAACTACATTTGTAACTTTGTGCTTAACAAAAACTAAAAAAATACCACATAACATTTTACATATCCGCAGACGCAACAGTGCAGCATCAGGTGCAATATAAACCTTTTCTTGCCTCTTTGTTTTGTTTCCTGTATATTTGCCATGTGCCCATTCTTTGTCATATGCGCGGCTCCTTGTCAGAATTACACTTTCTTTGAGCAAAAGAAATAAACATGTTAAACAAATATCTATTATTTTACATAAAAATGCAAATGTATTCTTAAAATGCATTTAATGTAATAATAAATTACTTACAATTTGATGTATACCACTGCTGCGATTAAAGCCAGAAAGACTGCGACAACTGATGTAATCGCCACTGCCTTTTCTAAAACAGTTGTACATGGAATTGGCCCAAGTTTGATAAGTCAGGTGTTAAGTCACATTAGAGAATAACAGAATCATACTTCCAGAGGATCCCTGAGCACTGCCAACTCTCAAGGCCTTCTCAGCCACACTTTCCGTGTGCGTGAAGATGCTCTGAGAGGGGACAGGTGTGGGCAGTGAGGAGCTGGACGTGGACTGAGTGGGAAATGTTGTAGGATCCACCAAAGCGGCTTTAACAACAATAACAATGTTATGTACATAGTTCAATTCTCTTGTTTACTTCTTGAATTCATTGAGTCCTAAACAACTAATCAATTAATTGAAATATTATCAACCAGCCAATCAATTTTCAAAATCAAAAATTACAGCCCAAATAAATCTCGGATCCCAAGTGGTTTTAAGATATTTTGATACCTGATTCATTGAAGCAGAAGACATCAAATGCCTTTTCAAGTTTAGCTCTCCATTTGACCAAACCAGTCTGATTTTGACCACAATTTTCCTGTGCAGTTATGCGAGGGATAACAGCTAAATTCTCATCTGTCCAGCCAAACCTAACAAATAACAGAATTAGTTCAAAAAAATATGATTACAGGGTCAGGGCTCTCACCTCATTTTCAGACCTCTGTCTGGCCTTTTGCACTTGAGATACAGAAGCAATATAGTCTCCGAAAAAAATACCACGAAGGTTCTGCGGGCTTCTGATGCATTAAATGCATAGTATGCCACATTCACATAATTTACACAGCTAACTTGGAAGACTCCAGCAATGTGGTCCACAGCAGGGAAAACTTACACAAGAAAGATTTGACAAAATTAGTCTAATGCAAAAGTAGATTTACAATCTAAGGTGACTTACCTCTGATATTAAATGGACAAAAACCAAAAGCAGAAAGACAAACTGATGCTGCAATTGAAAGTAAAAGTAACAGATTCATGATTGCCAAGTGGGAGCAAACAAAACCAGTGATGAGAAGAGATTGTGGTTTTGTACGTCTGAGAGCAGGGTTAAATAGAGGTGGACCTCATGTGTGTGCGTCTGATGCCGGTGAGAACAGGAAAGGTAAAAGGGAAGCGCAAATTCACTGATGCACATCAAGATGCGCTAACTTATTCCTCAGTACCAATGAGAAATCCAATATGTCAACAGCAGCCACATCAACACTGTGTATGCCAAGACCTTACTTTATTAAATAAGAAACACTACTCTTGAGTGTAATAAATTGCCGTTAGTTTGCCTGATGATGGCAGACTGGTCACATGGTCACTCTGATCAAATCTCAGTATAGGTACAGCTGTTCTGTGTGTATAATCTAATCTCAGTACAGTTTCAGTTGTTCTGTGACGCCCTCAAGTTTGAGAGGTCCTTGGACTTCAAGCTCAAATATTCAAACTAGTCTAAATGTTTTAGTGCCATCCTCATTTGCACTAAGCATCTGCTCCAAATGAGTGATGATTTCCTTCCCTGATTTGCTGTTAGGTAATATTTTTGTTCACATGAATCCCACTCCAGCGTTGAGTTTTGGCACACGACTGCATCCTCCAGGTCTGCCCAAAGACCAAAGAGACCAGGAAGTGATGCACACCCTTCTGACGAACACTGATGTTGTTCATGAATCATGTTTTAATCCCACAAGTCTTCAGTACATTTGTGGTCAAAGTTCGTTGAAATAATTAATGAATATGAGGATGTAGTTGCCACAATATTTTAAGTTAAGGCACCTTTATTTTTGGATGTGGTGCAAGAACATTCTTCACAAAAATTGACAAACTTGTACAATTATTAGATTAAGAGTTTGTCATCTAATAAACAATTGGTAAACAATTACAGTGCCCTGAAAACTAAATCTATAATAGATTAAAACACTCTTTTATGTATTGCACCTCAGTACTAGGAATGTGCTGTTATAATCTACTTTTACATACAAATCACAAAAACAAACAATATATTTTTTAAATACTTCAATGACTATCAATCAAATTAAATATGTATACAATGTAAAGTGAAATCTCGGTACACTTTCTCTTATGTCACACCAGGTGCCCTGATCATACAGGTGAATTATTCAAGCAAACAACATCAATTATTGAGCAAATCACACAACAGAGTTGGTCCCACTAGTCAATCTTCCATGACAACATACATTAAACAATATGAAAACTTCCCATTCAAAAGAAGCTTGTTAGCCCTTCAAGTGCCACAGATAGAAAAATAGAATTGTACTCATAAGTGCTGTGATTGTGTGTTTGTGTGCAAACTTTTTACCCAAGAAACAAAAGGCAACAGTTATAATACAGCAACATATTCATGGATAGATATAACATGACTAACAGCTGCTGTCATTTGAATGAGTTTGGGACATATCATTTTATCATATTTTTATCACAAAGATTTGTTTTTGAACTTTTGAGGGTGAGTGACATTTGTGGTCAAATGTAAAGATTATTAGGCCTGATTCAGTGGGAGGCCTGGGGACCTCTTTGCACACCACTTTTGCTACACTAACCAGTCTGCATACCAGCCTTTTTTATGTGTCATCGCGGCGGTTGTAGTAGTTTTTGAAAAAGGAAAATATACTTATGACCAGGCACATCAACAGAACAATCATAAGGACAATCAAAAGAAGGCGTTTGCTCCAAGAGACTCTGGGACAAAAACGCCCAAGACAAACAAAGATCTCTTCCATGCTCCTGAGAAGAGAGAAGAAAAAAGGAAAAGCTGCTCAATCCACTTTCTTCCTGTTAGCCACATTAAGAGAAACAGCTGCACGCACCTGTTTGGTGTGATCTTCTTCCCACTTTCTTCATCCTTATGATTCACTTCCAGAGGTAATATGTCCGAAACACTTTCCTCCTCAACGGCCTCTTCTTGTGTTTTGATTTGCTTTAATCCCTCTTGGAGTCTGTATTTAGAAAATCAAAAAGCATTCAGTCTATTGTGAATAGAATCGTGGGCTCAGTCAAATCTCCACGAAGGAACCTAATAAATAGTAGGTGTTTCTGATGTACACATTCTAGCTACAATACCAATAACTATATAACTAAACTATTGGACTGTGGATATGTCTTTGTATGTGTAATGGTAAAAATACTTTAGAAAATAGTAATTAACATTGAGTCAATGTCGGAAAGACAACATCTTTTATATAAGTTCCGCAGCAAGCAGGACTGACCCTTTATTGTAGGCCTCCTCCTCTATCTTGGCCTTGAGTTCGGCTCTGATCTCCGCTCTCAGCTCCTCCACGTTGACTGAAGGCTTGGCTGTCTCACCTTCCTGGTCTGAAGCACTCTTTCCACTGTATTGTTTCAAATGGGAAAGAAAAATCAACCACGCATTTTCCAACATTAAAGAGTAGCATATGATGTAATAGTTACACCATTTTATAATTACAAGCCACAATTCAAACATTATGATCTACACAAAGAAAAATAAAAAGTAAGACACAAATAAAATACTTTTTCTTTCACAGTGCAATGCCTTAAAGAGCAATACTTAGACTTGGACAGTGTTTTTTCATCAACATTTTGTCCTATAATCCTCACTCAAACCTACTGATCAAATAAGTTTTTTTTAGACCTGGTTTAGATATAGTGTCAGTACTGAAGTCAATTCGAGACGTATCCTCGTCGACTTATGGAAAAAGCTCTCAAAACTAATGTATATGCAACTCATCATTCTGCAGTTCATAGAGACACATACAAGTTCTGTAGTATATGGTAACAAACATTTTGACCCATTGTTTTGATGTTATAGAATTAAAAGACACAGATTAAAATATAAGGCAGCACTGAATGTTTAGACAGCCAGAAATATGTGTGTGCCTTGTGCATAGGTGGTAGTATATGATGTAACCATGCTCCCCACCAAACACACTAAAGACTGGGGGAAAGAAACCGGTCACATATGGAGAGTCTGAATGGAGTGGCTGAAAGCAACAAAGATGTCCTTGTGCAGTTGTGTCAAACAAACACAGAGGAAGACGAAGGTGGTCCTTTACACCTCTGCTCTCGTGCGGCTTCAGTCATGTTTACATTAAAAGCAGGATACGACTGGAGACGGGCACCTGGACTCCGTCAAAGTCCTGAGCAAATGTTTGGAGTAGGACCTTGCATACTCCAGCAAAGGGAGAGCTCCGACTACTTTATATGTCATCATGCTTGTTTTGATTGTGGTTACTGTAAAACACATCCTGAAAGTACAAAACAAGCCAAATGTCCCAGAGCAGCACAGAGGGTTTGATAAGGCGGCTGCCCAAGGACAGTTTTGAAGAATGAGAGGAGGAGCCTGAGAATGAGTTAAAACAATATGTCTGTTGAAATTACCTCTCAGCTGCTTGGGGCGTCTCTGTGGGAACGTGAATGACTTTGGGATTGTTGGCTTCACACTGAAACCAAGTGGAAATAATGTGTTAAATGTTTTCAAATGACAAAATATCCCACTTTTTTCTAGAAAATGGCTCATTATTGAACAGGAATACAGTATATACAGTTTATCCTTCTTGTTGATGATGACACAATATGTACGTGTGGGGCATGTTCATGACTTCATGAGGACTGCATGTTCTAGTCGACCAGGAAGTGAGAACTGACTTAAGCCTTCTACAGACTACAGGCCTGTTTTTAGTGCGTTTGCGGGAAAGTTCAGCTGCATCCAAATCGTATCAATACATCCTTCCTTATCGTGTACAATTGACTTTTATGAGACAATGTTTGTCCAGTTTTGTCACCTTTTTAATGAAGTTGAAAATAAATGTAATTTAGATTCCTAATACATTTTTAGATTTTTAGATTGAAGTGCATTTTGCAAATTTGCATGCAGCCATGTTGCGGTGGAGCATGTGGTCTCTGCAACTGAGACAGATAATCATTTACAGAAAAGATTACCCTTGTGTCTGTGGTCTATGTCACGACTTAAATTCTCATAAAACAAAAATTCCCGCATCCTGTAGACAGCTTTATGTGACCAGTGTGCACTTATTTGGTGCTTTCACATCTCCGCAAATTAAGCCTGATTTTCCCCAAGTGAACAAGAATTCACTTACTGTAAATGGGGGTGAGTGAATGAATGGACTGAAGCTTTCTGTATGAAATAATATAATATGAAATATATATAGCCAAAGTCTATATTCATAACCTTGTTGCTGAGTTAAACTCAAACCTGGTTAACTTTTAAAGCAAATATTTGTTTTGTTTTTCTTTTTAAATCAATACATTACAGAATACCCATGAGACAAATGCTAACAAACAATACAAAGAAAAAACATTTATAAAAGTTTTTACATCCACTACTGAGTTTTGAATAGATTATTGTATGAAGAATTTGTTCTGTATTTATTGAAAGCACACAAACACACAAGCATATGCACGCACGCAAACAATGATTTTATATTCCTGTCAAAACAACGGAAAACCTGTAACAGTTATTTATTTCACTTGATATGTCACCAGCTCATCATAGACAGGAAGACATACCAGTACAGGAAGCGTGGCCCCAGCGGAGGGTCCCACGCTGGGGCCTGGTCCGGCTGTCGAGGGGTTCTGACCCGGGATGTTCAGCAAACTAAACTTCGGCACAACTGCCACACTGACCCTGCGTCTGGGCAGTGCCTACGCCACAGCGAGTGCAAAGGAGACAGAACACGCAACAATGTGAGCCAGAAGTTACAGCAAAGGAAGTTAGGATAACCTGGATACAAGTTCAGAGAGGTGAAATGGCTGAATGAAAAAGTGCCATGCTATGTATTAGTTTTTGTGCCCACAACAGAGATCCCCAGATCACACTGTGGGGATATGTAAAAGAAAGAGTTCATGTTCCACCACTACCTGCTAACATTGATGACATTAAAAAATCATAACAGCCATGGAATCAGTGGATTGTGATGATGGTACGATGACTACTTGCAAAAGGTTGATTGTGAGTAGAATTCTTGTGACGGATTTTGCTATCGTTATCCCTTATTAAAAATATAATTGATTCATTAATTCTTATTTACACTGATTATAATTTGGCACAATAAAAATACTTTACATTTGAATAAAAGTGACATAACATTTAATCAGAATCCAGGGATTTGAGTTTTCATCACCAGTGCAAGAAGGTCAGCTGATGATCCAGGACATTTATGGACACTTGGTTGACCAATGGCTCTTAAGGAAATGCAATAACAAAACGCATTCTGTTCCAATTGTTTGATTCTCTAATATGTTGATGGTGAAATGACAATTTTGGTTACATCCTCCAAGATTACTGCAATTGTAATTTCGGGAGAAAAGAGTATTTGATTTGATCAAAATCCTAAAAACATATGGCGCTATGACACTACATTAAAAGTCACCAACAAATGACTTACTTTGCCCAGAGTGACAGACATAGATCTCGATGACCGTGGGACTCCGTCATCTGGGAAACAAAACGCATGCTTTTTTTCCGCAGTTTTTCCACAAACATTTGTTATTGCTATACTGTTGTTTTTGGTTCTCACCTCCAGTGTCGGCAGAGCTGCCGTAACAGCGGTTTGAGTTCTGGTTGGCCAGCTTCTTATACTCCATCAACTCTGCGTGGTCCTTTTCATAGGTTCTTTTGAGATTTTCCACATATTGCATCATGACTTCTGTCGCCTTGTTCAAACGCTTTTCCTGTAAAGACCAAACAAAGAGACTTGAACATTTAAAAGTGGAAGACTTATGGAATACGTAGTCAAATTAACTTTATACCAGAGAGTTTTTCCATAAAGACAATTTCAAAGTTATCCATATATTTTGCGTGTGGTTTGTGTTTGTACTTCAACAGGCATAAGTAGACTCTGCAAGTACATGGCTTTTTCTTTTAAATGATACCTTTTTTACGTTCTGAGAAAAACACTGATTATCGATAATGGATTTTATTTACCTGCCCAAACATTACAATATATATACACAAGTGGGTATTGGACGTAATCAGGAGTATAAATTGGCCTTCTCCAAAATATATTATAATAGCCCTGGGGGTGCCAGATCCTCTTGTAGAGAACTAATTTCAACAACATTTACACTTCAAAACATTTATAATCAGAAATGACAGCAGAACTAATTATAGTATTTTAAAGAAAACGTTAAAATTGTTAGAAAAACTAACAAAAATGTTTAGTGTTTTTGTTAAAGAACGATTGATGTTGAGAGGATAGTGTAGCTGTAGAATAATAATAAAATGACCTGCCGAACTGCGCCCACAATCTCGGCGCGGCTGGAGAGTCGTGTAGCCAATCGGTGCAGCACGGACACAGTCTCAATTAAACGCTGGTAGGCATCACGCTGCTCCATGTTCTGCCATTGTGGTGAAGTAATCTGCCACGTACAAAACCAACAAGAAAAACATGGTCCTATTATTCAATTGCAGCATCACTGTGGTTCACATTTGACTCTAAATAGTATTCATTCCATATATTTGAATATCAAACTATACAAATGTAGAACGTGAGAAGATGCTAGACAAAAAGCATATCTATACTGCAGTTGTTTTTCAATATATTAAAATATGTATGCTCCTTACAACCCATTACTAAAACTTTACAAAATACTCATTTATTTCAATTGTGGACATGACAGTACACAACATATTACTAATTACATTTCAAATTAATGTAGTCCTGGCACGCAAATGAAAAGAAGAAGTGCTTGCCCCTTTCTTAATCATGTACCAAAAAAACATTAAAGATAGACTGCAACTTTTTTTTTTTTTACTTTTTATTTATTTGCTCATTTTGTTTGAATACATTGTTGTGGTCCTTTCATCAGAAAAGCGTGTTGCTTGTTATTGGCAGCTGGATGTCTGTTTGTTTATCTTTATTGATTTAAAATATCTTTGCATATTTTAGTTTTGCCCATTTCCTCTTCCACTGTTCTTATTCATTCTTTAATATTATCTGACAGAAAAAATTATGTCAGATGCAAATAGAACTGATTTGAATTTTTGGGAAACAGATTTTCTTTATATAAAATAAAAAATGTTTTGGCCTAAGAATGGAACTTTCCAAACTGAATATTTAATAGTGTTGCCAGCAAGCTAAGTAAAAATTGTTCCAAGCAACTTTTGACCTCTTTTCGCACCGCTCCTCCAATGCCATACCAGATACCACTATAGTTTTTAAATATGTTGGTGTTTTCTTTTTTTTTTTCAATAGCTGACGTAATGTGCTCTGTGATTTGGTATTTTTTCTAGCTAGTAAACTAAAGAAATTGGTCTATAATTTGTTAGACGACGCTTGTCAATTGCTTTAAACTGGGAAGAAAACAGAAGTAAAAGACGGGTTAATATGACATATAAATATGATTTATTTATAAAGTCTATGTATAGACTGTAAATATCAAGGTCTATGCTCTTCTTAATATTTTTGAACTGTGCTTCAGTTTATACATTTCTAGTTTAGTGACTTCTTCTTTCTAATGGGAGTGACTTCTTTCTAATGGGAGTGACCACAAATTTCTTGTGTTTTAACTTGGCAGGTGCTAAGTGTACTGGGTGCAGCTCTGATTGCAACCCCCCCGACCCAGAAATGGATTAAGAGGAAGAAAATGGATGGATGGATTGTGTTTTAACTTCTGTATTTTAGCAAGATTTGATCCTATATTTACAAATTATGAATTAAGATCTTAGCCATGTCTGCAACTTTGAATTCATTGATTTTCTTGTTCAAAAAGTAATTTGATAACAGCTTGTCGCTTTTATATCCTTTTATATCACATGTCGCTTTTATATCCTTCTTATTTTCTAACAATGCTTTAGAACTATAATTGATTTCTTAATATGCTTGAATTTGTTTTTAAAAGTTTTATATTCATAATTGCTGCGTTCGAAATTTGACTGAATATTTATACAACTTCTTATCATACAGACATTTGCACTGTGCTAGTGTCAAAATATTGATATCCTGGAAGCATGCTTTTCTACCATCAGCTGACTTCATGTTTTTGGCGACTAACTTTGAGGGAATTTTTAAACTCCTCCAGTTCCTTCTCAGTGTCTTCCTCTGTCAGATTCCTCTCCCTTTCAGCTTGTTTGAGTCGCATCTCCAGGGTGTAGTTGTCGTTGCGATAGGCCAGTGACAGCTGGACAAATGCATTCTGTGGGAAGAAAGTGGACAGAATTGTAGACATAGAACAGCTGATTACAAAGAAAGCTCACACGTTCACACCTACTACTTGTACTAATGCGTTCGTTCACAAATCTTTAGGGCAATGATTTTGACATTAGAAGTTTTATTACATTTGCAAGTACATGTAACTTTTTTGTCTACCTCTTCAATGCAGGAGTTGTTGCATTACCTACAGTGCCTTGCGAAAGTATTCGGCCCCCTTGAACCTTTCAACATTTCGCCACATTTCAGGCTTCAAACATAAAGATATAAAAATTAAATTTTTTGTCAAGAATTGTGAAGTGGAACAAAATTTATTGGATAATTTAAACTTTTTTAACAAATAAAAAACTGAAAAGTGGGGCGTGCAATATTATTCGGCCCCCTTGCGCTAATACTTTGTAGCGCCACCTTTTGCTGCAATTACAGCTGCAAGTCGCTTGGGGTATGTCTCTATCAGTTTTGCACATCGAGAGACTGGAATTCTTGCCCATTCTTCCTTGCAAAACAGCTCGAGCTCAGTGAGGTTGGATGGAGAGCGTTTGTGAACAGCATTCTTCAGCTCTTTCCACAGATTCTCGATTGGATTCAAGTCTGGACTTTGACTTGGCCATTCTAACACCTGGATACGTCTATTTGTGAACCATTCCATTGTAGATTTGGCTTTATGTTTTGGATCATTGTCCTGTTGGAAGATAAATCTCCGTCCCAGTCTCAGGTCTTTTGCAGACTCCAACAGGTTTTCTTCCAGAATGGTCCTGTATTTGGCTCCATCCATCTTCCCATCAATTTTAGCCATCTTCCCTGTCCCTGCTGAAGAAAAGCAGGCCCAAACCATGATGCTGCCACCACCATGTTTGACAGTGGGGATGGTGTGTTCAGGGTGATGAGCTGTGTTGCTTTTACGCCAAACATATCGTTTTGCATTGTGGCCAAAAAGTTCGATTTTGGTTTCATCTGACCAGAGCACCTTCTTCCTCATGTTTGGTGTGTCTCCCAGGTGGCGTGTGGCAAACTTTAAACGAGAAATGGCTTTCTTCTTGCCACTCTTCCATAAAGGCCAGATTTGTGCAGTGCACGACTGATTGTTGTCCTATGGACAGACTCTCCCACCTCAGCTGTAGTTATCTGCAGTTCATCCAGAGTGATCATGGGCCTCTTGGCTGCATCTCTGATCAGTCTTCTCCTTGTTTGAGATGAAAGTTTGGAGGGACGGCCGGGTCTTGGTAGATTTGCAGTGGTCTGATACTCCTTCCATTTCAATATAATTGCTTGCACAGTGCTCCTTGAGCTGTTTAAAGCTTGGGAAATCTTTTTGTATCCAAATCCGGCTTTAAACTTCTCCACAACAGTTTCTCGGACCTGCCTGGTGTGTTCCTTTGTCTTCATGGTTCTCTCAGTGCTTTAAACAGAACCCTGAGACTATCAAAGAGCAGGTGCATTTATACGGAGACTTGATTAGACACAGGTGCATTCTATTTATCATCATCAGTCATTTAGGACAACATTGGATCATTCAAAGATCCTCACTGAACTTCTGGAGTGAGTTTCCTGCACTGAAAGTAAAGGGGCCGAATAATATTGCACGCCCCACTTTTCAGTTTTTTATTAGTTAAAAAAGTTTAAATTATCCAATAAATTTTGTTCCACTTCACAATTGTCTCCCACTTGTTGTTTATTCATGACAAAAAATTATGTTTGAAGCCTGAAATGTGGCGAAATGTTGAAAGGTTCAAGGGGGACGAATACTTTCGCAAGGCACTGTATATTCCACGGAACCAAATACAAGTGACAAGCCAGCCAAAAACCAGTGATTCATAATTAATATGGTGGATGACCAGTTTCATGTCATACTGTGGAACAAGTAGGCTGAACCACATTTCATGTTACACAGCACAGCTTTAAAAGGCTGCTGTACTGCTGCTGCTTGATCCGTTTGAGTGTGCGATGTTCAAAGAGAGCTCTGAACATTGGACAGAACAGAGAGGAAACAAATGACCTCTGACTGTTCACCATCCCCAAGAGGCTGCAGTCTGAACCCAACAACGTCACTAATGTTTGAATATTCTCCACAGGAAATCACTTGGTGTCTCTTTGGTCTGATCAGGGACAGAAAACCACTTTCCTGTTGACAAAACACGGCCAGTGTAACGAGGAATGCTGCCTGAAAGTCATTAAAAATACTGGAGGGAGGCAACACGTGGCTAATGCTGAGTGACATGTGCTACTGTGTGCCAACAGCAGTTACTTTTACTATAATAATTAAACCACTTTTACTCACCTCAACCTCTTTCTCAGTAAGTGGTGGAGCACTGGGGAAAATAAAGAACAGAAAATCATTGACAAACTTAAATAATCATACGGAACACGTGCATTTATGAACATTTACTCACCAGCCAGGTAAACCTCTGTGAAGTTTGAGTTTACGCAGCATCACATCAGAAATATGAGGCAAAACATCAGACTTCTCTTTAGACTCATCGCCACCGTTTACAGCTGGAGACACTGGAGGGCCACCTGCAAAAATACAATATTTATCTTAAAGTGGTAGTATGTAACTCTAAATTAATTACAAATTTTAAGAATTGTAGTAAATTGACCTCCTGGCCTTAAATGTTGATATAAAATAAGTAATTTTATTAATTCTAATATTACGGGTAAGTCACGCCTTCCCTGCTCTTAGCTATAGCTCAAAATCCATGATGCCGTCCACGTTAACCAATCGAGTCATGCAAAGGGCTGTCAATCATCGCGCTGATGCTCGTAGCTGCGCGCGTGCTCAGTTGTTTGTTTTCACGGAGCCTCCGAATCAAGCCTCTTAGGCTCTGGAACTACATGAAAACTTAACAAAGAATCCGCGCTGAGTTACTCATTAATATACTGAACCTATATCCATAATCATTTATAAACTGAACCTATATCCACAATCAGATCATCTGTAGATATGTCCTATAATGTGCAATTAATGATAATAGCTTCTTCTGGGTTTGCCGCGATTTTTTGTGAATTAAAACATTATTTTTTTCATTAAAACTTTAACAAATAATTCTGAAAACCTCCGTGCATGTGTATTAATAATGTATATGTATAATGTGTTCTCTCATTAACATTTAAAAGTGTTAAGGAAACGTAGGTGTAGACCAATCAGAAAGGAAGGGGGAGGGAGCTTGCGTCGTTTTTTTCAAATCAAGTACCTCTCTCTCTCTCTTTCTGACAACCTGCAGACAATCACTTTAAACAAAGTGTTGTGTGTGTTCACTATCATTTACGAAATATAACAGGTTTCATCTTTGTAAAAACTGAGCTTGTAGGAAGTTCAACAAATAGCACAGTTAACCCTTTAGGTGAGTGTTATTCATACATTTGATTGGCCCTGAAAATATAAAAAAGACTAAAATCATCAATTCATTCCAAATTACATATCCTTTAAACGTGTTCCTAGACAGTAGGTCAATGTGTACATGTCATATATTACCATTTCTGAACAACAATTTACACTGGGGTTATTCCTTTAAAAACTCCCATACAATGGACATCATGTCCTAATTTGGGATGCTAGTTTATCAAGAAAAAAAGATCTGGTTTTGGCTCTTAGCTTTTACAAAACAAAAACTAGCATCACACATATTTAAATCAAACCAGCTACAAAAAATAAGTAGTGACACAAAGTTTGTACTGTTCCTAGCTAAACTTCAGTAGGTGATTTGCATTTGTAATCAGTGCTTAGGAGTGTCACAGGCTGGTTAGACTCTGGTAGCAATAGTTGGATTCTAAACTATAATGACTTTTTGTCATACTATCCCTTTAACTGCCCAATCATAATTAAGCTTCTCTCATCTCTGCGCTCTTTTGCTACAGCTTCACACCATGTTTCATGTAAACGGCTTGTTGGATGTTTTCATGGCCAGTAAAAAGGTGAGCGAGGGCAGAACATAATGGTTTTGGTCCAGGAAGAGCACACCCTACTGTACACACTGTCCCCACCATGGTGCCACTGGGCAAAAACATGACTATTACCTTTTTCCTGTTCTGAAGATTCACTCAACTCAGGCAACTTTGATATGCTCTGGTTTCGCATCAACTTGTGCTCCTGCAAAAAGCAAAAGGAAAATTCACATGACAGTAACAAAAAAGTGCCAGGAATAAGATTCTAGAGGCATGCCTAAACTATCTATAACTGTTTTTTTTTTGGCAGATTCAACGCTCTTAGGCCACAACACAATTTTAACAACAGTGTGATTGTTTTATATTCTAATCAACACAACATCTGGCATATTTTTATTAAAAGTATTCCAATATTCTGATATTCAATATTCTAATTTAGCAATTCTTCAAAATATAATTAACTAACCACAAGAGTTGAGGAATGTAATGGTACATGTTTTAAAGTAAAACACGCATGTGTAATCTTTCAATCAGTTGTTTTGCAGTAGTTTCATTTAGTTTGATTATATTCTCAATATAAATACCAAAATATATTGCCCTGTTGTCTGCAGAAAAACAATAGAAAAAGCCGTAATTGAAAGGACTGGCATGTCTTACTTCTCTGAGTTTGGACAGTTTTTGGATGCCGACCGGCTGCAGCAGGATGTCTTTGTAACCTGAGGATTGGGATTTATTGACAGCAGCATCAGAGACTGAGAACGTGTCCTCTGGCATGGGGGGGAAACTCGGAGCCCCGTTCATCGGCTTCAAACTGCCCACAGAGTCCCAGGTCACGGCTCTCATGAGGGGAGGAAAGGCTCCGATGGTTTTGATCTCCGCTGTGCATGGGGCCTGCTGTGTTGGGGGTCTTGGGACAGGCTTAGCAACTCCCGTGGCCGGTGTCTGGTTCAGGTTCCGGCCTGGACTGGTCTCACCGTCTGATTTGGGCACCATTTGGTGGCTTTTAGGTTGATCACAGTTCTCTTTTGGAAGAGCAAAGCGTGGAGTTAGGCTCCCAGACGAAACTTTTCTCTTTTCTGCAGGTTTCCAGTCCAGCAGCGGCCGGAGTGCCTTTGTTCATAAAAAACACAAGCATGAATTGGAAAACTGCAGAGTTGTAGTCGTGAACATTCATTCCAACCAAGTAGTGCACCTCAGATTCCACCCATTTAACTTCAAGTCAGGTTGTTTCAGTCCAGTGAGTGGAGCCTGTAGTATGTTTATAGTAGCATGTTTGACTTGATACCAGGTTTACAAATTTCAATACCACAGAGATTATCTAAAATATTCCTTTCTTGAAACATTATGAGCTGGAAAGGAAACTTCTAAAAAACAATGTTCATGGCAATTCTTTCCCGTAGCAATACTTTCTCAAATGAGTAACTAGTTTTGATAAAAGTATAATTAATGATTAACATCACCATCCATCCATCCATCCATCCATTTTCTTTCCCTAAATCCATTTCTGGGTTGGGGGGTGGCAGTCAGAGCTGCACCCAGTACACACAGCACCAGCCCCTCACTGATCCTCCTGCAGGTGGTGAGTCCACAGGAGCCTTGATTATTCAGCAGGGGCTTCAGGCAAAGTGGGGTTAAGTGTCTTGCCTAAGGTCACAACAACAGCAGTCATCAGTGGGAGTCGTGAAGTAGGTCTAAGGTGGTGGGCTCGAACCCAGAACCTTAAGGCTCTAAGGCCAATGCTCTACCAACTCTACTGTTGCCCCAAAAAATACACCAAAATACACGAAAAAAATACAAAATACATGAAAATGACAAAACATACTGACACAAGACTGACCTCATTGTCGTGTGTTACGCTGGGCGGATCTCTTGGTGACGGAACCTCCAGATGCTATAGAAGAGATCTATGTTATGTGTGTACAATTACACTCGATATATTCTACTGCAGTACACGGATATTACCGGAGAAAATACAGGGCTTGCTTGTGTGAGATCCACTGGACTAAAGCCTGAAAAGAGAACTCATGTTTACAAAAGGCAACACTCGCTTCTACAGATGTTTTGAGGGACATACTGGTGTGTGGAGCCACGGTGAGAGAGTTACTCCTGGAGGAACAAGGTGAAGAAAGAGAAGTTGGAGTGGTGCTTGGAGACAGACCTGTAGATTAAAACCAATATTAAGGCTACTAAATTTCAAACCCAGACTACCTAACTGCAAAACCAAAAACAAAATTAACAATGTTATACAATCCTTGTAACTACTTCCTAGCTCTTAAAACTGTTTGTTTTTTCAGCTTTTTCAGTGATAGAAAAGTAGCCCTTACTCAGTCAATCAGCTCCCAGTATATAAAAGGTAACCGTTTGTCCCAACACAGTCTTTTATAAGACATCATATAAGATTATCTGAACAAATCAGAGCACAATGTGCAGTCTTTATTTGATCTTATTCATATATTTATTAAACCAATGTATGTAATCCAATTTAGACTGAAGGAGTCATCCGCGTTTCCCTGATTGGTTTGCTCCATGTGATATGTCAAGCCTTTGTTATATTATTGTGTACACTTCAAATTATTTTGAGATAAAAAACAAAAATAAAACAAAATGGCTTGGTATTTCTCACTTTGCATGTAATGAGTCATATATTAGTTTAGTTTCACGCTGTAAGTTGAATTTATGGACTCTAAAGAGAGGTCCATGAGCATTTCTCTATTGGGCTTCACTGAACAACATTATGAACCTATTGACTAACATTCAATGTATACTCATCTAACTCTGCAATCATTTGTCACACTGACCATTTAGGCCTTTAAAAATCTGTTCTTTAGTTTTTTTAAATATATTTTCTCTGTAAATGCAGATATGAGCCATATAAGGATTGACTAATCAGATGCCTTCATTTGTACGGTAAACGCCTAAGAAACTTGTCAACACATCTGCCCCTGTTACGACACAAAGTTTATGCAGCAGAACAAATGCTCCAGCTAGGTTATGTTCAAATCGGCCTCTTCCGCATTAAAACACCACGGGTGACGTCACCACTCGATCAGTCCACTCCTAATATACGATCTATGATTGATTGAATTACAGAAAGAAATGGAAAATTAGAAAATTGTTGATAAGTCCAAGTTTCACCTGTAATACCTGGGGATTAGTATGGGACACAGACTAATAAATGAGGTCCCTAAAGAATAAAACAACCGCACAAATGTTTTAATAACATTACTATCAAGGCCATTTGCTCACGTGTGGGGGAGTCTGTGAGGCTGCTAGTGGAACGGCGGCCGCGGCGGGTCAAGAAGCGGTCGCTGGCTTTCTTCGCCTGCTCCAAAAGCTCCAGGTTCTTTTTACGCTCCTCCTCTGACAGCCGCATCTCTGGCAGCGCGTCTTTCACCAGGTCGATTACATTACCTGAACTGTCTGAAACAAACACACCAACCATCGACCACTTTCAGACTGACATAGCACTTTACAACTTCAACACACAAGCAAAGGATCCACAGTGGTGGCAAAAGTATAGATATTTTAATACAAATCTGCTCTTGTAAAAGTAAAATTATATTTTAATTATTTTACGCAAAAAAAACCAAGAACATGCTTTATTTTATACATATTTGCAGTAAAAAGCCAAGAGTGAAATTAATTTGGTTAAATGACAGACATGTTATAACGTTGTCAAGTGTTTTCTATTATTAATTAATTCGGTTTTCGAACATCAAGGAGTAGAAACTACAGATATTTAGGTTTGAAAGTAAGGAGGAATACAAGCAAAAAGTTGCAGCACAAAAATAACAGCAGCATGCTCAGGACAACAAGGGGAAAGTAGCACTTGAGATATAACCTGGTACAATACAGGTCTGCTTTGAGGGAAACGTTTACTGTACGTTGACCCTGTTTGTGTAAGTAAATAAACTAAACTACAATAAAAAGCATTAAACGTACCACAAAAAACGACTGTACTTTAGTATCATTACTTATTTAAATTTTTACATTTATTATTATTTTCAAGATAGAGTTTTTATACTTTTTAAAGATGCTAGAGTTAGAGATTTTGTTTTATTTTAATTAGGACAGCTACTGTTCAGATAACGTGTGCTGTGTGCTCCTCTTTCCTACTGTTCTATTACATGTGATGGACAAATAAAGGATCTCTCAATCTTAATCTTATTTGCCATCTCTACATATCCAATAAAATCCATAGAACTACTGTTACTACTTCCCAGATCTGACCTGGTGCCATCTGCTTGTATCCATTGAGATAAATAAGTCTGAATTATATACTGCGGCATAAATGTTTTGTTATGAAGCCATAAATAAGGATAATTTCCAATTCAGGGCGGAAAAAAATGAACCAGGGCCAAAATAATCAGTGTTGTTTGAAGTGCATTCTGTCATATACCATTTTGAAAAAGCCAACATCAAAAGTAATGAAAACATTTGAAATATGTGGGAGTGAACTAATACAACGTCTAAGTGGATAATACCAAATCATAATATTGCTTTTGGCTCTTGGCAGGACTTAAATCATCAATGTACAAAAGAAAAGGGAAAAGTTGTAATAACGTAATCAGGCATATATGTTAATTATGGAAATGTATTTGACTAAGCCCACATGCAATACAAAATAGATTTCTATAATATTGCTTGCCAACTGTGGTGATTGGTCCACTGAAAGAAGTTCTGGACACTCGTGCTCTGGGACTATGTGGTCTGAGGGGAGAATACAAAACATGATTGTTAATGGAGTGAGTTTATAATTACAGGTAACTGAAAGAAAATGTTTGTGAGTGGTACCTGGTCTGGTCAAGAGCTCGGTCACTTTGAACAACCACGGTGGCCTGTTTAGGAAAGATGATTGTGGGGGTCTGGAGACTGTCTCCTGGAGTGGACTACAAAACACATTATAATTGTGTTGTTATTTCAAGTATAGCACAATTATGGGTTTTCAGATTGTATAAAATATTCAGTAGACCTCAAGAGTTTAATTTATATGGAGTCTGAGATAATTGCTAATCCTTGATTGGTTGGAGATGATCGGTTGGTTTGACAATGTTAAGTACCAAGTTCAAGTTACCAACACCACCTTACTTTCTTTAAAGCTGTTTCAAACTATACAATAATGAAATGCAATAAAAACCATCTAACCAGTTCCGAGCTCCCAAAACAAATGACAACATGTTGAGGTCTGATTTGTTCAAATGTTACTTTTACTAAGCTGTGGGACAACAGGTCACAGATAATACTACAGGGTAACATTTGGTTACAGTAATAGCAGCTTAAGTCATTTTGCATGTATTCAAGGCAGTGCATTTCCAGGGAAGATTTAACCAGATTGCAC